ATATATATATATATATGGTATAAATTATATGTTGTAATGTGTATCAAAGTTTTGCATATCCATCGTGTTAATTCCATCATTGTAATTTAAAATTTCTGAAATTTCTCAAAATGTTAATACAAAAAATTAGGAAATTTAAATCTGCTAAAAAAAAAAAAACTAAAATTAACACAAACATGTAGCATGTTAATGATTCGTTAAAATTTGCGTATATTTGATATTTATTTGTACAAAGATTGAACTTATTAATCATAAATTAACATACATAAATGATGAATTTTTCTTTTTGATCGAAAAAGAAGTGAACTATGTAGATTCGATAACCTTCCCTTGTCAATATAATTAATAGCACCTGTAAGAATGCAACCATAAAGTAGTTATGCACTGAAATAGCATATGTTCAGTAGTAGTATATAACAAACTATTAGTATATTTTTATATGCTTATAGGTATGAGAAATATGTTCAACAAATTCGGCACACTTTTCAATAATAAATTCAATAATAAGTTCATATATTTTTCCCAAGTTTCTCGCATTACGTAATTAACGTGTCACGTGCTAAGCCCGAGTAATAAGTTTCTTTGCTTGTATGATTTCTACCGATTAAAACAACCTGTTGAATAACACGCTATAGATTCCTATATTCTCGAGAAATTCATAGAATTAATTAACATACAAATATATAAAAATCACGAGCAGTTTAAAGAGACAATTCTCAACGTACCAAGTTAACGCGTCAAATTTCTCGAGAATGCATTCGCGAAAGGCGAGACAATGTGCGGGGAACGATGACGAGGGAAACATAATGTCCCGAAGCGGGACAAAGAACAAGTGTATACGGACGGCGCGGGCGGGAGAGGAGGCACCGATTGTCGCGAGGATATCGCGAGAAAGAGGAATAAGGAAAGGAAAAGGAAATCGTGGAATCCCAGGTGCACTTGGGAGTGCACGGAGAAAGAACTTGCGAAAGAGTAGAAGGTCGGATTCCCGGCAGGGAATTTATCAGAGACGCGGGCCGGAGAGGTGAGGCGGATGAGAGATCGAGAGGTGTGTGTGTGTGTGTGTGCGTGCGTGTGTATGTGTGTGTGTACCGTGGCTCTTGTCACGGAGCGGAGAGCGCGAAGGACGTGGAGGAAGGCGTGGAGAAGGTAGAGGAGGAAGAACCTCCGCCGCCGATCTCTTCGCTGGAGCGAT